TTCCCACCAAATATGAAGGAGGGTTAACCTTCCTCAACATTTGCTCCAGCATATGTTGTAACTTGGGTTTTTGATCTTGGCCATTCTGATGGCTGTAAGGTGAAATCTCAAGATTGATTTTATTTGCATTTCCCTGATGACTAGGGATGTTGAACATTTATTTAAGTGTTACGCCCCCGTTTGATATTCCTTTGTTGATAATTCTCTGCTTAATTCTGTACCCCATTTTTAAATTTAATTTTATTTATATATTTATTTATTTTTAATTTATTCACTTTGTATCTCCACTGTATCTCCCTACCTCATTTCCACCAAGTCCGACCCACCCTTCCTCTTCTCCCCCAATGCCCTTCCTTATTCTCCTGACATGTTATGGTCTCCTCCCCTTCTATCTGACATTAGCTTATTAGGTCTCATCAAGGATGGCTACATCATCATTCTATGTGCCCTGGCAAGGCTGTACCACCTGGGGGGAACTGATCACAGAGCCAGCCACTGAGTTCTGTCAGAGACAGACCCTGTACCCTTTAGTAGGAACCCACTTGGAAACTGAGCAGCCAAAGGCTTTCCTTTGAACGGGGGTCTAGTTCCTCTCTAGACATGGTCCTTGGTTGGAGTATCAGTCTCTGCAGGGCCTCCTAGGCCCAAGTATTTTGCCACTAATGTTCTCCTTGTGGAGTTCCTGTCCTCTCCAGGTATTTCTATCTCCCTCTTCCAGAAGGATTCTGGCAATTTGCCTAAAGTTTGGCTAGGAGTCTCAGTATCTCATTCAATACCATGGTGGGTAGAGTCTTTGAGAAGTCCTCTGTGGAAGGCTCCTGTCCTGATCCTTGTCCTCTCCAACTTCCGATTTCTATCCCATATGCCATTCTGAATGAGGATTAAGTATCTTCCCTAGCTGCTTCCATATTGTTTAGCTTCTTTAGGGCTATAGATTTTGGTACATTTTTCTAGCTGCTATGGTTAATATCCACTTATAAGTGAGTATAAATCATATGTTTTTCTGCTTCTGGGTTAACTCACTCAGAAAGATCTTTTCTAGTTCCCACCATTTGCCTGCAAATTTCATGATTTCCTTGTTTTCAATTGCTGTGTAGTATTCCATTGTGTAAATGTACCACACTTTCTGTATCCATTCTTCCATTGAGGGGCAACTAGATTGTTTCCAGATTCTGGCTATTGGGAATAGGGGTGTTATGAGCATGGTTGAGCAAATGTCCTTACTGAATGGTGGGGCAAATTTTGCTATATGCCTAAGAGTGATATAGCTGGATCTTAAGATAGCACCATTTTTCATTTTCTGAGGATTCTCCAGATTGATTTCCAAAGTGGTAGGTAAAGGTTACATTCCTACTAGCAATGGAGTAGGGTTCCTCTTTCTCCACATCCTCTCCAGAATGCATCATCCCTTGAGTTTATTTATTTATTTATTTATTTATTTATTTATTTTCTTTTATATTATGTGCATTGGTGTGAGGGAGTCAGACTACTTGGAACTGGAGTTACACAGAGTTATGAGTTGCCATGTGGGTGCTGGGAGTTGAACCTGGGTCCTTTGGAAGAACAAACAATGCTCTTAACCACTGAGCCATCTCTCCAGACCCGAGCTTTTTTTTAATATAACCATTCTGAAAGGTGTGATGTGGAATCTCAGTGTTGTTTTGATTTGCATTTCCCTGATGACTAAGAACACTGAAAATTTCTTTAACTGTTTCTCTTCCATTTGAAATTCTTCTATTGAGAATTCTCTCTTTAGCTCTGTACCCATTATTTAATTGGATTACTTGATTTGTTGCTTTTTAATTTCTTCAGTTTTTATATATTGTGGATGTTAGTCCTCTCTTATATATAGGGTTGTTAAAATCCTTTCCCAGTCTGTAGACTGTCATTTTGTTCTGATGACGGTGTCCTTTGCTTTACAGAAGCTTTTCGGTTTCATGAGGTCTCATTTATTGATTGTTGATTTTAGAGCCTGTGCTGTTGGTGTTGTGTTAAGAAAGTTTTCTCCTGTGCCAATGAGTTAAAAGCATTTCCCCAATTTTTCTTCTAACAGATTTAGTATGTTTGCTTTCATGTTGAGGTCTTTGATCCACTTTGACTTTAGTTTTGTGCATTGTGATAAATATGGCTTTGTCTGAATTTTTCTACATGTTGACATCCAGTTAAACCCAGACCATTTGCTGAATATTCTATCTTTTTTCCATTGTATGGTTTTTGTCTCCTTTGACAAAAATTATGTTTCTATGGGTGTGTGTTTATTTCTGGGTCTTTGATTGTACTTTGTTGATCTTAGTCTGTTTCTATGCCAGTGCCATTCCAATTTTATTCCTGTTGCTCTATAGTACAGCTTTATTATATAAGGGATATGTATACCTCCAGAAGGTCTTTTATCGTACAGGATTATTTTAGCTATTCTGTTTTTTGTTTGTTTGTTTGTTTGTTTTTCCATATGAAATTGAGAATTGTTCTTTCAAGGTCTGTAAAGAATTGTATTTTGATGGGAATTGCATTGAATCTATAGACTGCTTTTGGCAGAATGGCCATTTTCACTATGTTAATCCTACCGATCCATGAGCATGGGAGTTTTTTCCATTTTCTGATATCTTCTTCAATTTGTTCCTTCAGAGACTTATTTTTTTTTCATATAAACCTTTCACTTGATTGGTTACAGTCACACCAAGGTACTTTATGTTACTTGTGGTGATTGTGAAGGGTATAATTTCCTTAATTTCTTTCTCAGACCATTTCTCTTTTGTATACAGGAGGGCTTTAGATTTTTTTTTTTTTTGAGTTAACTTTGCATCCAACCTCTTTGCTGAAGGTATTTATCAGGTGAAGGAGTTCTTGGTAGAATTTTTTGTGGTCACTCATGTATCATATGATATCATCTCAGATTAGTGATACTTTGACTTTTTCCAGGAAGCCCTCCTCCATTTCTAGTGGGAATGTAACCTTATGCAACCACTTTGGAAATCAATCTGATGCATTCTCAGAAATTTGGGAATAATGTCAAGATCCAGATTAACAACTCCTGGGCATATGCTCAAAACATGTCCCACCATTCAATAAGGACATTTGCTCAACTGTGTTCAGAGCAGCTTTTTATGTAATAACTAGAATCTGGAAACCACCCAGCTATCCCTCAATGGAGGAATGGATAAAGAATATATAGTACATTTACATGATGGAATATTACTCAGCAATTAAAAACAAGGAAATCATGAAATTTACAGGCAAATAGTGGAAACTAGAATAGATCATCTTGAGGGAAGTAACCCAGAAGTATAAGACACATATGGTATATACTCTCTTACAAGTGGATATTAGCCATATAATGTAAGATAAACATACTAAAATCCATAGTCCTAAAGAATCTAAACAATATGGAAGAGAGTAGGAAAGACACTTAATCTTGATTCAGAAGGGCAAACAGGATATACATCAGAAGTATGAGAAGACAGGGAACAGGACAGGAGTCTTCCAAAGGAGACCTCTAAAAAACTCTGCCCACCAGAGTATTGAAGGAGATACTTAGACTCATAGTTAAATTTTGGGCAGAGTGCAGAAAACCTTATGGAAGAAGAGGAAGATTGAAAGACCTGGAATTAGCAGGAGCTCTACAAGGACACTAACATAGCACAAAATCCTGGCCAGAGTGGGGTACTTGCAGCTACTGATACTCCAACCAAGACCATGCATGGAGAGGACCTAAAACTCCTATTTAGAGGAAATCCCACTGGCTTCTCAGTTTGCAAGTGGGTTCCCTAGTAAGAGATCAGGTGTTGTCTCTGGCATGAACTCAGTGGCTGGCTCTTTGATCACGTCCTTCTTGGGGGTGCAGACTTGGCAGGCCATGAAGGAAGATGATGCAGCCAACCTCGATGACACCTTATAAGTTAGATTCAGTCAGAAGGTGAGTAGGTTCTCCCCTATGAGTAGACTAGGGAAAATGAATAGGGTGAGAAATGGGAGGTAGGTCTGATTAGGATAAGAAGAGAGATGGGGCTACAAAGTGAATAAATCAAAATAATAAATGAATGAATGAATGAATGAATAAATAAATAAATAAATAAATAAATAGATAAATAAATAAATAAATAAATAAATGGAAAGCAAACAAGCAAACAACCCAGCTATAGGTGTAGGAACTGATTGTCTCAGAAATTAATGATAGTAAAGATTCTTAGCTAATGTTTTTGTTTGTTTCTGACATATTTTACACGTCTCTGTCTGAATTCTTAGAGCTTGTGGCACTCTATTTGTAATTTGTGGCACCATTTGTTACCTCGCAGGCAGAAACATAACAATAAGTGTAACCATTTGGATATTTGGGTATCCTCTCTGCTAGTCTAAAATCTGTAAAGTCTCCTTGTCTGTACTCTATGAATAATCAAATGCTGTGTTAAAGATTAAGTTATTTCAGCTGCCTGACCTCTCCAAAAATAATAGAATGTTTTTCGCTAAATCTGTTATTTTAAATAAGGAAGGCTCCCCTGCCTCAAATGTTTTCCACCAGACATTTGGTTACAATAATGAGAAAAGTAGCTAACCCAACTAGCTTAATTTAGATCACTAGTCTTCATGAAGTTTAACTGCCATATTCCAAAGAATGAGTGACAAACATTCTATTAAGGAATATGGTATCCCAGTAGAAATCTCCTTATATTTTTCACCTCTATCATGGCTAGATTACTTATATATTTTGACATTTTTATATTTGGCCAGATTGGAATGAACCTTCAAAATAAGATATAATCAGGTATACATACTACATCCAAACAAATTCTCTATTGAAAATTATTCATCTTAATTTTGTATTGAGAAATGATTTCTTTTTTGATAATTTTATGATGATTTAAAACATTCTTGTCAATTTTGAGGAGTATGTGCTATTCATGATAATTCAGGAATACTTCTAAATTACACGGTCTTGGAATAAGAATCTTCTTTTGCAATATCTTGAAGAGCATGTGGGGCTAATAGTGTTGTCTTTCCAACAGAAAATACAATCAGATTTGACAAGTCATGCCATCAGTTTAGAGGAAATGATGAAACATATCGAGGGAAAGGATGCCGCCCAAAGAGTTCTTTCACAAATTGATATCGCACAGGTATATTTTATTTTATCAGCCATGGAGTTTGTTTTATATACTGGACAACTTTGCTATCATCAAATTGAAAACTATACTATGATGTCTATCAATAAATCACTTAAAAAGAACGTATGTATAATTTAAAGATAAGTTAACATATGACTTCTTAGTATCATATTTAAAAAATACTAAATTTTCCCAACTACATGTATTTTTTTGTGTGTGTGTGTTAGAAAATGACAAACAATTTTCCATTTATTTTCTTTTATTTTTTATTCAGAAAAACAAAAATTAACAAAATTATGACTGGTTCATCTGTTAAAAGTAATTGATATTTTCTTACATTTTGGTTATAGAAAAAATTGCAAGATGTCTCCATGAAATTTCGTATATTCCAAAAACCAGCCAATTTTGAACAGCGTTTAGAAGCAAGTAAGATGATTTTAGATGAAGTAAAGATGCACTTGCCTGCACTGGAAATAAGGAGTGTTGAACAGGAAGTAGTCCAGTCACAACTAAGTCATTGTGTGGTATGTATTCCTAGTGGCAAGTATTCAGATATGTTTTCATTTTGCTGTATTAGAAGAATTTGATTATATTTTGTAACAAAATGTTTTTCATACAACCATAATATTTATAGTAAGTATTTTCAAGATTAATAAAAAATAACTATGTATTAAGGTACAGAATTTTTTATGGAAATAGTAGTCATATGATGATATTTTCAGAGCATGTTTTTGAGCCAATAATTTTGTTTATGTCTACACAAAATAAAAAAAATCCTTTTTACTTAATTATTTATTGGGACATATTATAAAGAAATGAAGAAGGGAAATATGCTAATCTAGAGACAGCAACCGAAGCAGTAGTTTTAATAATAATAACCACTACAGAAATAATGCTTCTCAGTAAGTTTAAATGAGGTATAGTACTCATCTTTATTCTCAGGGTTACGTATTACCTGAGAGAAGTTAAAGACAAACAACTGTGAAGGGCATAGCAGATTGTCCTCTAGCTACTCCAAAAATAGCACTGCTGAATATACATTGAAATGTCACCAGACCACATGACAATAAACAGAGAAGAAAAGATACAACTGATTCACAGCATACATTTATATCTTTTTTGATAATTCATACTATCATATGTCATTACTCTTTAAAATCTGTCAGTCAGATGACATCTTTGATAATATAAATATTATTTTAGTGCTCTGAGGTTTAGGTTTTTGTTTTTCATCTACTTGATACTATGACTAAAAGTAAGATGATTTTACACATGTATCAGTTGCATGTTTACATGGATAAAGTCTTCTTATTTATCAAGTGCATTCAGATAAATGTGTGTTTTTAATGTAAATGAAATTATTTAATTGATAATATCATTAATCATTTGGATTCACTTTAGTGGAATAAAAGTATTAAGCAGTTTCGCTATCCAAAATAGTATTTTATGGTCAGTGATTTTCTGATAATAGACAAAAAAGCATAGACATACATGGGGTCCTATCTTAAAAATTTTCAAAGAGGAGCCTGCTTTATAAAATAAAACAATATCGTTATCTTCACGTTAATGAACTCAAATTGACCATACCTTTGTCTGCACAAAGAAAACAAAACACAGCCTTAGCCTTGTCTGGAACTAGTTCTAGTTCAAATGTCAAAATCAATGGAAATACTTTTTCTGAATGGATATCTTTCACATATTTTATATTCTCTATTTTTAATATCTTTTATGATGATGTATACTATTCCCATATTCTTGTCTTCAAGAGTTTTAGTTGTATTGCTTTTATTTGTTTGTTTGCTATTTATGTTGATGAGGATGGAGTTATTTGATGCTGTGTCACTATATAGACTAGTTGGCCTTGAACTCATTAATATTCCTGCCTCCATCTCCCAGGTATTGCAATTAAAAGCAAGTGCCACTACTCCTTGATAGAACTTTTCTCCTCCCTAAAACAAAAGATCTCTTTAACATTAACCCAAAGAGAAGGGATCTTTTCCTTCCTTGGTTATAATTATTTTCTTTCATGATTAAAAACAGTGAGTTCATCATTAAATGTACTGTAAGTTAAATCTCATCAAGTTTAATTAAGGAATCATTTAAAAGTATAAGTGGATTCAAATTTGCATAGCTGTATCCTAGCATAAAAATGAATGATTTCAGTGTTTCCAAAATGCAGATTTTTCTATGCACTCTGAGATACAAATTAAGTAAAAATTGAAAAGCCTTAAAATGAACCATAGTTACTGATAAAGAAATATTAACATCAGTCATAAGATGGATTCATATCAAAGTACATTTGCATGTTACCATAACTACCAAGATAATTTTTAATTATTTTTTATTTTTTATATTAATTACAGCTTATTCACTTTGTCTCTCAGCTCTAGCCCCTTCCTTCATTCTCTCCCAATCCTTCGCTCCTTACCTCATTTCCTCCCATGCCCCTCTCCAAGTCCACTCATAGGGAAGATCCTCCTCCCCTTCCATCTGACTCTAATCTATCAGGTCTCATCAGTATTGAGTGCATTGTCCTCCTCTCTGGCCTGGCAAGGCTGCAACCCCTCGGGGAGAGGTCAAAGAGCCCACCCCTGAGTTCATGTCAGAGACAGTCCCTGTTCCCCTTACTAGGGTAAACACTTGGATACTGAGTTGCCATGGGCTACTAGGTTATATCCATATATGGTTCTTGGTTGGAGTGTCAGTCTCAGAAAAGACACCCTTGCCCAGATATTTTGGCGAGTGGAGGGACAGCTGAAGCCAGAACATTGACATTGAGTCTCTGAATAAAAAAGATAAATTTAATGTATGCTTTTACACATTTATTTTAATCTAAAAAGATGAAATAAGAAATATCTGTTTTAAATCCAAGGACAAACCACCTACTAGTGAGGTTTCCCTTAGTTAGAATTAACTTATTATTTTTATTAAAGATGGAACAATTTAATGGAAAACTATATTAGTAATTATATGTGTACATATATATGCAATTGAAAATGATTCATGCATGTATAAGTACCACGTCATATATTTTCCATAAAATAAGTACAAAACAAATTGTAACATCAAAGTGGCATTGACACTTTAAAGATAATTACACCTGCCTTTCAGAGTTACAATAAGCCCATAAGTTACAAAGCCCATGAGACTTTGTTATGTTAAACTATCTACTTAAAAGAATATGTACTTGCCTTAAGTTGTGAGACATATGCATAAATAATGTTTCTATTTTTTATATTCTGATCAGTATCAATAAAATATATTTGTATATTTTGATACAAATATTTTAGTTTGATTGATTTCTTTCCATGTGATATTATATACTGGAAAACAGTGATCTAGATATTTAGATGTTATATCCTACTTAAATGTGAGTACCATGAAAACAACAGAATATAATTTTTTTTTTTTACTTTTTCATCGCTGATATGATAGTAATGCAAATATTATCATATATATGGTCCATTTAATTTATAAGGTTATAGATTTATAATCATTAATATTGAGGTTAACTCAACAAAAAATAAAAATCATATGACAACAATCATAAAATGCACTCCATTTGCATTATAAACACAAAAGTGAAATTTTAGGTGAAATATATTCTATTTTTATTAATAGTATATAATGCTCTATAGTTTTTATAGTATTTATGTTTGTTTTATGTCTTAACATAGAATTTGTATAAAAGCCTGAGTGAAGTGAAATCTGAAGTAGAAATGGTAATTAAAACTGGACGTCAAATTGTACAGAAAAAGCAGACAGAAAATCCCAAAGAGCTTGATGAAAGAGTAACAGCTTTGAAATTACATTATAACGAGTTGGGTGCAAAGGTGAGTGCCTACTTAGACCAAGCTCACAGTTTATATTTACTTTATGCTGTTAAATCACATTCAAGGAAAAAATACACAATACAAGAAATTCTTATTATGAGTCTGTCTTGTTTGAATCTTAACAAATAAAACTCATACTAAGATACTATTAGTCCTTGCTTCTTTATATAAGCCAAAAAGAATTTAAAGCTTAAGACATATTTATTGGTAAATCAAATACTTATGAAAGTTTTTTTTCTTGTTCTCAAATCCTTTCTGTTAAATGTAAATAATGTATTTACTATGACTGTAAGAATTGTAAGTATTTTACATTCAGTTACAGTATGAGTGATTCATTACACTTAAAATTAACTTAGTAGAATAGAGTTAGCACAGTTTGAAATCAAGACAATAACTGTATATTTATTCTAATTATTTTACTAATATTTTCTCTAATATTTATACATGTATACATGTGTATGGGTTAACACTGGGTTCCTATTTTTCCCCTTAAATTTCTTCCTAATCCATTTTTATTTTAATTCTTAAAATTTATTTATTTTTTATTAGTTACAATTTATTTACTTTGGAGCCCAGCAGTATGCCCATCCTTTATCCCCTCCCAATCCCACCCTTTCTCCCTCATCTCCTCCTGTGCCCCTCTCCCAGCCCACTGATAGGTGAGGCCCTCCTCCCCTTCCATCTGACCCTAGCTTATCAGGTCTCATCAGGACTGGCTGAAGGTTCCGCCCCCGCATGGGCTGCATCTGTACAGGGGTTCTAGGTTATCTCCATGAATGGTCCTTGGTTGGAGTATCAGTTTCAGAAAAAGATCATTTGCCCAGATATTTTGGTTCTGTTGCTCTTCTAGTGGAGCTCCTGTCCTCTCCAGGTTTTTCTATTTCCCCCTTCTTTCATAAGATTCCCTGCACTCTGTCCAAAGTTTGGCTATGAGTCTCAGCATCTGCTTTGATACATTGCTGGGTAGAGTCTTTCAGAGGCCCTCTGTGATAGGTTCCTGTCCTGTTCCCTGTTTTTTCCCTTTTCGGATATCCATCCTGTTTGCTTTCGTGAGTGAGGATTGATCATTTTACCCAGGATATTAGCTTCTTTAGGTGTACAGATTTTAATATGTTTATCCTATATTATATGTCTAATATCCACTTACAAGTTAGTATATATCATGTGTGTCTTTCTGCTTCTTCAATACCTCACTCAGGATAATCTTTTCTAGTTCCCACCATTTATTTGACTGCAAATTTCATGATTTCCTTGTTTTTAATGTCTGAGTAGTACTTCACTGTGTAAATGCACTTCAATTTGTACTCACAAATTATCCCAAAATTTCAGTGTATCTATGTTAGTAAATATTAAGCTGTTGTGAATAAAGCATACAGATTTTTTAAATTGCATTTTACTACAAAAAATAAAAAATAAATCTAATACACTTAATGTATAAGTCTTCTCAATGATTTAATTAACATAATATTTCCTCATACAGCAACAAAAACAAAAAGAGAAAAGAACAATAACATGATATTAAAATTTTTGTATGCTTTATTCACAACAGCTTAATACTTACTAGCATACATACACTGAAATTTTGTGATGATGAATGAGTATGTTTTATTTGATTTTTGACACGGTCTTTTGGAGCACAAGCTTGTCTTGAGTTCAAAAGGCAGCTGAGGCTGACTGAACTCCTGATCCTTTTGCTTCCACCATCAAAGTGCTGGGATTACAATAGCATTCCAATATGGCTGTCTGATATGTACCTATAGTGATAAAGAAAAAAAAATGTATCTAAGAAAAGGGACACTCTGACCTTGGTCTTTTCTTTTTCTTTTTTTTTAATTAAATTTTTATTTTTTTTATATTAGTTACAGTTTATTTACTTTTTATCACAGCAGTAGTCCGCTCCTTCATACCCCCTGCCAAACCCACCCTCCCTCCTTTATCTCCTCCCTGCATCTCTCTAAATCCCCTGATGGGGGAGGTCCTTCTCCCACTACATATGAACCCAGCTTATCAGGTCTCTTCAAGACTGCATGCAATGTCTTCCACTGTGGCCTAGCAAGGCAACTCCACCCTTGGGGTAGGGTGGTTAAAGAGCCAGCCGTTGAGTTCATGTCAGAGACAGTACACATTCGCCAAACTTGGGAACCCACTTGGACACTGAGCTGCCATGGGCTACATCTGAGTAGGGTCTCTAGGTTATATTCATGCATGGTCCTTAGAGAAACAGTCTCAGAAAGAAACCCTGTGCCCACATATATTTGATCTTGTGGAGCTCCTGTCTTCTCCAGGTCATACTAACTGACCCCTTTTTCATATGACTCCATGTACTCTGACGAAGGTTTTGTTATGAGTCTTAGCATCTGCTTTAATACACTGCAAGGTAGTCTTTCAGGGGACCTCTGTGGTAGGCTCCTGTCCTGTTACTTGTTTTCTCCTACTTCCAATGTCCATCCCATTTGTCTTTCTAAGTGAAGATTGATCATGTTACCACAGGTCCTCTTTCCTGTTTATCTTCTTTAGGTGTACTGATTTTAGTATGTTTATCCTATCTTATGGGACTAGTATCCACTTATAAGTGAAGATATACCATGTGTGTCTTTCTGCTTCTGGGATACCTCACTCAGGATGATCTTTTCTAGTTCCCACCAATTGCCAACAAATGTCATGATTTCCTTGTTTTTAATTGCTGAGTAGTATTCCATTGTGTAAAAGTACCACAATTTCTGTATCCACTCCTTTGATGAGGGACATCTGGGGTTCTGGCTATTACAATCAATAAATTGGACCTCATGAAACTGAAAAGCTTCTGTAAGGAAAAGACACCGTAGTCAGAACAAAATGACAACCTACAGACTGGGAAAGGATCTTCACCAACCCTATGTCTGACAGAGGGTTGATATCCAGAATATATAATGAACTAAAGAGGTTAAAAAGCAACAAATCAAGCCATTCAATTAAAAATGTGGTATGGAGCTAAACAGAGAATTCTCTGTAGAAAAATATAGAATGGCAGAGAAACACTTAAAGAAATGCTCAAAGTCCTTAGCCATCAGGAAGATGTAAATTAAAAGAACACTGATATTTCACCTTACACCCATTAGAAGGGCTAAGATAAAAAACTCAAGTGACAACACATACACATACACATACACACACACACACACACACACACACACACACACACACACACACACACACA